CTAGCCTGACGATGAATGACCGAAAACGATCGTTTGCCAACACGACTTTTCACTCGAAAAAAGGTATATTTCGGTTTAAAAAAACTCTCTAAAGTGCCGAAAACGTTAAGCCCTACCAGCTGTTACAAGTGAATTCTTGGTTTCCAAACGACATGCTATATGCATTCTGCCTAGGGAAAAGTAAATATTTCCCTATGGTATGAGAAAGAGGTCATATATTTCTCATAAATTTTCGTAATGGAAGTAGACCATATAGTATACCTCAAAGGCAACACTAAAAGCGACAGATACGATGCAGTGTGAAGGAAGACGTTTGTCGTAAAGAAATTCATAATTAGAACTTTTTAATCCGTAAGATACCCTTTTTTCGCGTATAAAAGTTGAAAAATACGTAATTTGTTAACAAACGAGTACGAGAAAAAATATTGTTTCACATTTTTTCTATAAAATGTATTTGAATTTATAAGGGAAATGAAAAGTAACGATAAAACAATGCACGCCACTTAATTAGGCATTTTTTTACGGAGCATGGTTTTTGCAGGCGGTCAAAATGAGATTAGGCTGTACAATAATCAATATTAAAACTCGCTTAGACAATTTGTTTGAATCGAAAACAAATTTCAGAATTTCGGTTGACATCTCAAAAGATAGGAGCTCTACTGGACGCGAACTACACCGTTTCAATGCTAAATGCTTGTTTATAAAAGCGGCCCGTATTTCCTGACGAAAGGGTTCTGCATTATACATTTCACTAAGATCGTGCCTTTAGAGGGAGGTACATCAAAGAGCAAAAAGGCATGAAAAAAGGTACCTGCTTGAGCAGCTTCTTGTAGTTTTCACGGCGCCGTTCGAGTCTCACCATCTGCGCGGCGGTTTCGCAGTAGATGCCGTCAAGCTGACCCAACTTCTCCCTAAGAAGGCAGTCGCGTGTGTTAGGGGGCCAGATTTATTTAAACACAGACATACCCAGTAGAATATACATCAATTATAAATAAGTCTAGTCGAGGGAGGATGGGTGGGGAAGAGAGTAGATTTACCTAACGGCGCGTACATCTGCGAGAGTTTGGCTAAGCTTTTCGCGAACCACGTCGTGTCCTCGAACAGCCTCGAAGAAGGACGAAGATTGTTTCGACACCTATGAGAAGGTAAAAGTAGCGTACAATGTTGATGTTTGCAAAAGGCTGTCAGATAATGTGGCCCGGTGATACAGTATTTTACGGATACGGGAGCCGCAATACGGTCTAAGGCTAAAAGATCACGTGACAACAGGCACCACAACAGAACAAGCCAGCTGAGTCATACGCGCGGGCACCAGCTTACGTTGTTGCTTCGATCACGCGTGGCGCCTTCGGCTTACACGTGCAACCGCCAGGGTATCACAGCGCGGAAAACGGCCAATCAGCGTGTAGGCCAGGATGTTTCACAAACACCCGTCGCACGCCATTGGCAGGAATGATCCAGAACTGCTAGGACCCCATAAATAAGCTAAAGCTGACGAACTGGAAAATTCACTGTTTCTGTTGGCCTTGAATAAAGTGGTTGCTCTGAGAAACCGGCTCTCTTGTCTTCTTCCTATTACTTGTCGGGATATTACACAGTAGATTCCTTAGCTCATGAAATATCAACCGAAGCTCGGAAATGGGTTTTCGATTCGAACAAACTATGTAAGTAGGATTGACAAATGGATTATCGTGCAGCCTAATCTCAAAATACTTCAGCCATGCCAAGATGCCCCCTCTCGAGAGAGTATCCTTCTGATCGCCTGCAAAAAAATATACTTCGTAAAAATGTATGCCTAAGTATGATGCATTTTGATTGTTGATTTTCATGGCCCTTATAATCTTAAAGATATTTTACAGAACACATACATAGAAATATTCGTTCTTGTACTAATTCGGTAGCAAATTGCGTCTTTTGGAAAGTACATACCTGAAGAAAGGGTGTCGTTTGGTTTAAAAAAGGGTTTAAATATCGTTAAAGGAATTGAAATTCTACCACCTGTAATTGTTGAATTCTTAAGGACATTGAAAATCAACGCGAAAAAACCATACTACTTGAGTAGCCATTTTATACAGTGTATGAATTTTGTAGGCGGTCAGAAAGAAGCTCTTTCAAGGACCAAAAAGTTGCCGACATGACTGAAATATCTTTATAGTAAGCCATCCGCTCTGCCTTGGGGCTCATTCTCAAGCCTCGCCAGGAGCCGCAAAGCAACTAGTAGTCTAGACAGAGAGCTTTGCCGAGCCTCATTTGATGCGCCACTCGGAGTCAGGTACGACTGGTTGAATACGGCTAATAAACCAGAAATTGTCCTTCCAAATCTATGCAAGTAATTCGTTCGAGCACAAAACACAGTTATGAATTTTATTTGACATTTCCTTAGGTAGGGAATCCATTCTACACTTCAACTGGCCGTTATTCATGTCAAAAACCGGTAAAGGACATTGATAATGAGCTGCGTGATCAAATGGTGGAATGGATGGCAACTACTACCATCGCCACCACCACAATCATCATGAACACCAAGGAAAGAGATCAACCACTTACATGCCTAATTATACGCAGTTCCACAGCGTCTAAATACTGAGAAAGCCGTTCATTCTGGTTCGAGAAAGCGGTTGATTGGGAGATGGAAGAGGCAGTCGAGTTGTCAGAAGGTAAGCGACTGTCACTGCTGGAGTGTTGGCGGTGCTGGCCCGCCCAACCCCGAGGATAAAGCGGAATTACGCGATGGAATGTTTGTGGGTCCGCCAGATTGAAGTCGGAGGCCAGGAAGGTGGAAGGAACGATGTTGGTGGGGTCAACGGCTGAAATGTTTAAGTGGAAAGGTGACCGTCGCCTGTCCAATCAATTTTGCCAGATATCAGTATAATTTATTAACCAATAGGAAAAATAGCCAACAAGTCGTGTATATTTTGGAAGGAACACAAAGTTTACACTTGTTCTACTGGTTTACAAACCACAATCTGAATGTGTTTCTTACAGACCTCCGGTTAATACAGAGTTGACGAAACGCAAAGAAATTCAGCACGGCAAATGTATGATCCGCGTGATCATTCAAGACTGTCACGCGAGGCTTCGCAAGTACCGTCAAAGGATCGACGAAGAGAAGGCAAAGTGCTTCGAGTTCATGGACGAGAATGATACACAACTGCTCCAGCAAAGGGTGGCCGAACGAGCCCGCGAACACAAAGCGAAGCGATAAGCAGCGCTTGAAATTAAATTTCGCAAGCTCCCTCGTTCAACGTCATCCAAAGATGACAAACTGGTGCACAAGCTGTCCTTCAAGGAGCTAACGGAAGAACAAATGTGGGTGTTATGGCATGAAGACCCATTCAACACGACTAATGTCAGACCTGCTAACATGGTTGCTGAGGTAGAATCAATTCCCAGCCAAACACAAGCGACGCACGAAGCGTAAAACTTTATACGACAGCAGGTGTCGTCCCTCCTCGCGGCCCATTGGCAATGCGACGTGCTCTCTAAGGTCGAACGTAAGACACTTAAAGAACTCAGAGCCGACAATGACCTCGTTATCGTGCTGGCGGACAAGGGGCAGTCCGCTGTCGTATTGGGCAGGATAGACTAAATTCACAAAGCTCAAGATTTGTTAGAGGATCGTCAGTTCTACGTTCCAT